GAAAGATTTCAGCTAACTCGTTCAAGGTGTGGCTGATCTCTCTTAAATCGTATGTCGCCATGGCTGAACTTAAGACTCGGGGTTCCAGGCTCTGAAGACCAAGAAGCACAGACCTCGATAACTCGATCAACTCGGCATTTGCACTATGATTATCGCAGTGTGTTTTCAATGCTGTGAATGTGTGATTCATGAGATCGCAAATCGCAGGCTTTCCCGAAAGAATCTGATAATAATCAGTACGCTTCTAGACCTAAGTGACGACTAACTTACAGCATTCGCCTTCACCAAACGTGGAATAAGATATTGAGGTACAGCTCCACGAGAGTGCCTTTCTTGAGTAAGGAGGTCTTGCAAAGCAAGTCGAGGTACTTCAGGTGACAACGCGCTGTCTGGTAGAAGTGAGACAAGGAATGTCACGCCCTATGTTTGTTAACAGTCGGCTCGGCCGTCTCATACGTCGCACGCATCATACCATCATTTGCACTTGCCAGTCAATACCATTCCTGTTGACTTTCTCGCAAAGTTTAGCAATTTTGTGAGCGTTGTTCGCAATCCAGCAGTCCTTCTGGCCCTGCTCTACGCTGTCACAAATCTCGATTGCTAATCGGATACTCTCTGCTGCCTTCCCCGGTGGCAGATTGTCGCAACTAGCGGAGCATGCGAGGATCACGCGCAGGATAACGAGGTCCAGAGTCTTTAAACCGCGCTTCTGGCCGAAAAAATGCTTGACATTCTGCAGCCAAGATGGAAATTGTGGTTTGTGTTCTCTTTCAGCATTAGTGTCCCAAAAAGATGAGATTCGGGCAAAGGTAGCGAGACAGAGGAGACTGCCCATGTGGTCGTCGAGATTCCGCAGTGTCTTAGTAAGCTCGACCTGAAGGCTCGACATTGTCTCCGGACATATTTCAAGTAATACTCCGGGGACTGGTTCCAGGCCGGTCATGATTTGATATAGCGGGAATATGGTTTCTGAGCATGGATTCTCTCCCATCGCGTTTATCAACCTCATGATGAATGTGGCCAGACGAGCTGGAGCAATGAAGTTCAGGGAACGAGGAGAAGAAAGAATAGCAGTGCAGAGTGTCATCCACTACCATCATCAGTTCATGTGCACTGGGATCAAGACAGGAATTGAAGTATTTTAGCAATTCCCAAGGTTGAATGAACAAACCTCAGGTTCATCGTTTTCTAGGGCCTTCTCCAGGAACTGGTCAAGTACAGCGGGATATCGCTCCAGCAGAGCATCGGAAACAGCCGAGACAGATGCTACGGGACGTAAGGCTTAAACCTTGATGGACAGCGCATCGAACACTCACCGAAAGCATTCAGTAACGGCACAGCGAAACGAGACCGAGACAGTCCGTCGACAAGCACATCGACCAAAGCTCCAATTTGGCATGGTTTATGAGTAGCCCAGTCATTAACCAAACCATTGGAGTCATTCTGAATAATATTTTGAAGGCTCTATCGTTGTATGTCAGCTATCAAAATTCTCTATATTCGTTATCAAGCGGGGTACAGATTTACTTGGAGCGAGGGCGCATAGGGGGCCGTGATGAGGCGCTCCACTTCGTGTACTAGGAGTGATAGCTTGTCTGACATGATTTCATCTAGACTGACCCATAAGAGGAGAATACTCTTCCGTAAATACTTGATAACCCGAGTAGTGGAATCGTGAAGCCTTCAAACAGTGGTACCGTCTTAATTCTGCATGAGATGCAGGAATGCAAAGTTTAGCTTTTCCGCTGGTTGCCCCATCAACGGCTGCCCATCATCTCTTGACCTCATGGCAAAGACTCAATCTTCAATCACCACGGAAAAGCAAAGTCAGCAAATGATACTCGTCTCACAATTCCCCTATATGACTATTAAGCATGCAATTCGAACTTGCAGCTTGATCCTCGCCGTCCCTCCCGTAGTGGTGGAGCTGGTCGGCATTAATTCCGCTCTTCGGATTTGAGGCCGATCTGGGGCAAAACCGGGGCAATGAAGATTGACTCCGAATGCGGTAGGTCATTTAGCGTGGGGGAGACAAGTCATAGGGCCTATGATGGTCCTTAATATATATTAATGTACTGTGAAATCTGGACTCGTCCCACGTTCTTGTTCGTCCTATTTTCGTGAGATGTTATTCGGCCGAATACCGATGAGCTCCTCATACCTACATTCAATGGCGTTAGTGCTTATAAGGTGCGGCTGCAAGATGCACAATTACCGAAGAACAGCAACGAACAACTTGACCTAATAATCATCCTTCTCCCACTTGGTTCTGTGCACATCTTCCCCAGTTAATTATTCTTCCATGACTTGAGGAAGTTTCCTGCTCAAGTAGTACCTTCAACTTCCCTTCATGTCAGCCATACGAAGCCATCTTCTTTCTCGCGGTTTCCCCGCATATCCCCGCGCACTTCTTCGGCAAACCAAAACTCACCAGCTGCAAGTTTCGTCAGTCGGAGCTACTCGGTATAACAGCTCCAATAGCTCAGAGGTTACTTCTAAAAGCCAGAGGAATTTTACTAGATCAAATTTCCCCGCTCAAGCGGCTCCCAGCTTCTGGACGTCCGGCAAGGCGCTCCTTGCCTGTGTCTTGGCTGCCAGCATTGGCTACGCATATGCTGCCACTAGTCGGCCGTCGCGGTTGGAGAGCTCAAAAAAGCCTCGATATGGGACGGCAAAGGATTTCGAAAAGGTGAGAAATTCGAAATCGATTGCTCTGTCGAGCCAAGCATATGATGCTGATTCTGGCCTCAACGATGCCTAGGCCATTGCTGAATTGCGAATCACGCTCGGCGATGATGCTATTAGTACGGACGAGGATGAACTTCAACAGCATGGATACTCAGAATGGTCTTCCGTGAACGCGGATCGTCTTCCGGTCGCCGTTGCCTACCCAACGTGCACAGAAGATGTGGTGAAGATCGCCAAAGTTTGCCACAAATACAGGATGCCGATGGTTCCTTACTCCGGCGGTTCAAGTCTCGAGGCAAACTTCTCAGCTCCTTACGGCGGGTTGACCATTGATTTCGCCATGATGAACGAGATACTTGAGATTCACGAAGATGATATGGATATCGTCGTCCAGCCATCCATCCAGTGGATGGAACTGAATGAAAAAATCAAGGATACCGGTCTCTTCTTTCCAGTCGATCCTGGTCCGTCCGCAATGATCGGTGGCATGATTGGGACCAACTGCAGCGGGACCAATGCAGTGCGCTATGGAACGATGAAGGACTGGGTGATCAACCTGACAGTTGTCCTGGCAGACGGCCGGGTAATGAAGACTAGGAGACGCCCCCGGAAGACCTCCGCTGGCTATAACTTGACAGGAATGTTTGTAGGCTCTGAGGGTACTTTGGGTATTGTCACCGAAGCAACTCTCAAGCTCGCTCCGATTCCAGAACAGACTCGGGTCGGAGTGGTCGCATTCCCCACAATTCGGGATGCTGCGTCGACTGCCATGCAGCTTATACGAAAAGGAATCCCGGTACAGTGCATGGAAATTTTGGACGATGTCCAGATGGATGTCATCAACCGTGCTGGCGGTACCGGCCGGACTTGGAAGACTTTACCCACACTTTTTTTCAAGTTCTCTGGCACTAAAGCTGGAGTTTCTGATAGTATCAATCTGACGAGAGAACTTGCCAAGAGCCACAATGCAGCATCATTCGAGTTTGCCCGAGACGACCGAGAGGCACATGATCTTTGGTCGGCGCGAAAGCAGTCGTTATGGAGCATGATGTCCTTGCGGAAGGAAGGTTCGGAAGTGTGGTCAACAGATGTTGCCGTTCCGATCTCCAGGCTACCTGATATTATAGGTAGGGATCAATGTAAATTACCTTCGAACTTGTGCTGACTTGAATAGAAATTTCAAAGAAGGAGCTTGACAACCTGGGGTTGTTCGCCAGTATTTTGGGTCATATCGGAGACGGAAACTTCCATTCGAGTATAATGTACGACAGAAAGGATGCTGACCAAATGGAGCGGGTTGAGAAGGTCGTCCACGACATGGTCGACCGCGCCCTAGAGATGGAAGGATCTTGCACTGTTAGTATAACCAAGCTCCTCACTGTATCCGCAAACTAGCTAACTTCAAACGACAGGGCGAACACGGCGTGGGGCTGGGCAAGAAGGCATCTTTGAAAAAGGAGCTTGGCCCGGCTACTCTTGATGTCATGCGTAGCATCAAGAAAGCCCTTGATCCCCACTGGTTGTTGAACCCTGGTAAGATCTTCGACTACGAAAGTGAGGCATCAACATGAGGTAGAGCAAGAGAAAAATAATTACCCTTCAAGACTTCTCCAGATGGAGTTCTTGCCTCGGCCGCCATGCACTCGAGACGATGATACCATAGCTCTTACGTGCATATATTGGCTGACACCAATGATTTTATGAGCAATTTGTACATCTATGATGTGAATAATGATAGCAAGCGACCTACCTACCTACCTACCTACGGTCCTACCTTAGATATAGTACCTTACATATCTCATTGAATTCATCCAATCATATTGCTGGATTTTACTGACTAGGTAGCGCGCAGGTGGTGGGTGCTGACTCATTGTGGGGCTTAGCGCAGGACGGTGAAGCGATATCGCAGTGCGCAAGTAAGTCATAAAAAGGTACCTTGATATTGTTGCCACAAGCGTCTTCTCCTCAAACCCTCGGTGAGCATTATTCAAAAGGTTAGTTAATATATTCCCTGTGCGTGGCATTGTTCGTGTGTTGCCTTTGTCAAAAGAATATGATGTCTGTCACCTGAAGGAGTGGGCAATGGAGACTCTGCCTGCGGGGCATTGAATTCTAGATGAAGGCTTTTTGAGTCATACACTTGGATTCGCCTGCTTTGCCCAAGGCTTTGCATGTCGTTCGATTTCTTTGCATGCCTGATGGATGATGGACTTCTCATTCTTCGAATTTAGCTCATCCCTATTCTATCCAGCCAATTGACTCAAAAACCAGGTCGACTGAGCCGTACTTCACCCTGATTACTCTAAATCACGATGGCATCATATCCCAAGAAGAAGTGCGGTATGGGCATATTGTTCAGTCCATATCTCCCCTAAATCATTACTCACAGCGCGACAGGTGTCCTGGGCGCCACCGGTTCGGTCGGCCAACGATTCATTCTCCTCCTCGCGGACCACCCTTTCCTAGAGCTGCACGCCATTGGCGCATCGAATCGCTCGGCCGGCAAGAAATACAAGGATGCTGTCAGATGGAAACAGACTACAGCTATGTCTGAGAGGCTTAGCAATCTCGTCCTGCGCGATTGCAGGGCTGATCAGTTCAGCGACTGTGACCTTGTCTTCTCAGGCCTCAACAGCGACGTAGCTGGTGAAATTGGTACGTGATACTATTATCTCGAGATTAAAATGTGAGGGACCGCCGCTGACCCTCGCAGAGATGGAATTCATCAAGGCCGAAATCCCTGTCTTCTCTAATGCCAAGAACTATCGAAAGCACCCCCTTGTTCCTCTCGTCGTCCCTACCGTCAACCCCCATCACTTGGATCTCATTCCTCACCAAAGGAAAGAGTTCGGCCTGAAGAAGGGTTTCTTAGTTTGCAATTCTAACTGCGCTGTGATTGGCGTTGTCATCCCCTTTGCCGCTCTCCAAGCCAAGTTCGGTCCTGTTGAGGATGTGGAAGTTTTCACCGAACAGGCCGTGTCTGGCGCTGGCTACCCTGGTGTTCCCAGTATGGACATCATGGACAACGTTATCCCTTATATTAGTGGTGAAGAGGACAAGCTTGAGAACGAAGCCCAAAAGATTCTGGGTTCTCTGAACGCCGATGCCACTGCCTTCGATGAACAAAAGGGGCTTACGGTTGGAGCCACCTGCACTCGTGTTGGTGTTACCGATGGCCATATGGCTTTTGTCTCATTGCGGTTCAAGAACCGGCCCAGACCCAGCGCGGAAGAAGTCAAGCAGGCTATGCGAGAATACCAATCCGAGGCCCAAAAGCTTGGTTGCCCTTCTGCTCCTCAAGAGGCGATCAAAGTTTTTGATGAGCCTGACAGACCTCAACCCAGACTTGACCGGGATATCTCGAAGGGATACACTGTCAGTGTGGGACGTGTTCGTGAAGCAGCATCGGGCAGCCACTTTGACCTGAGATTCGCTGCACTCTCTCACAACACCGTCATCGGAGCCGCAGGATCGTCTATCCTCAACGCCGAGGTTGCAGTCATCAAGGGCTACATTTAGACTTGTGCAGACTTATTAAGAGCATTTGTTGTATAGCGATTCGAGGACGAAAATACCGATTTCAGTTTTATAGACATCTAATCATTATTTACCAAAAAAAAAAAAAAAAATTGGAATTCGCTTGATGAAGTAAATAACTACGAACTGAACTATGGATTATATAAGCATACACATATTCTTTGATTCATGCAGGTTGTTCTAAATTAGGCATAGCGCTAGGGCTCCTCCCACAAGAATGATCCGCTAAGCGAATTTCGTGAGTGGAGCGGATATCACCTCTTCTTGACTTTGACCTTGGTTTTTTCTTCCGCGACACTTCGACAACTAACCGGGTTCAAGTCGACAAAGCAGTCAAGATGCCTCGCGGACCGTGAGTTACACACCATGATTAATTTTATCTCGGCTCGCAAGTTGCGACAGTGTTTCGGACAACGGGGTCTTCCTCGCGAAACAAGGAGCAATACTGCAACGACCGAGTTCTGAATTGAAGAGCTTGAAACTGACCATGAACTTGATTCCTACAGTAAGAAGCACCAGAAGCGCCTCAGTGCGCCCTCGCACTGGCTCCTGGACAAAATGTCCGGAACCTATGCTCCCAAGGCCTCCCCCGGTCCTCACAAGCTCCGGGACTGCCTCCCCCTGATCGTCTTCATCCGCAACCGTCTCAAGTACGCCCTGAACGGCCGTGAGACCAAGGCTATCATGATGCAGCGTCTGATCAAGGTCGACGGCAAGGTCCGCACTGACCCTACCTACCCCGCCGGTTTCATGGACGTCATCGGTATTGAGAAGACCGGCGAGAACTTCCGTCTCATCTACGACACCAAGGGTCGCTTCACCGTCCACCGTATCCAGGCTGAGGAGGCCGAGTACAAGCTCTGCAAGGTCAAGAGAGTTCAGCTTGGCAAGGGCGGGATCCCATTCTTGGTTACGCACGATGCGAGAACGTGAGTGAAATGCTCTCCACAAGTTCCGCGTCATTCAGTCGTTGGACCAAGCTTTGGTTGATCGGCGGAGGACGAGAGGGCTTGGATATCCCCAGATCCTTACTGGAATCAGTAAGAGGTTGAACATTTGGTGCAGTTTGTGCTGACCGAGATGAATCTAGCATCCGCTACCCCGACCCTGCCATCAAGGTCAACGACACTGTGAAGGTTGACATTGCCACTGGCAAGATCACCGACTTTGTCCGCTTCGACACTGGTGTTGTCTGCATGGTCACCGGTGGTCGTAACATGGGCCGTGTTGGTGTCATCACTCACCGTGAGCGCCACGATGGAGGTTTCAACATTGTCCACATCAAGGACGCTATTGACAACTCCTTCGCCACCCGTGAGTCCAACGTCTTCGTCATTGGACAGGAGAAGCCCTGGATCTCTCTGCCCAAGGGCAAGGGTGTCAAGGTACGAAATTACATTCAGAAAATTATCTTTCCAATGCGCATCTGCTCACAATTAATCTAGCTCACCATTGCTGAGGAGCGTGACCGCCGCCGTGCCTACGCTATCGCCCAGTAAATGCGGTATGGTAAGTTCCAATGGTGACGGACATAATAAAAAAGCCTTCAATAATCCGCTGGGGCGTCGACGTCTTGTCTTGCTTTGTGGCCTGTGCGATGCCGGTTCATGAGACGATTCTATGATGCGTAACTTGAAAAAAGAAAGAAAAGTTTGTCTCAATACGCATTCAAGGGATCTGATGGTTCATGCGACATCAGGTTCAGAACTCGTAGGATCCATCTATAGCAAAACAGGAACGGAGTGTCTCACAGTTCTTTGATATGATACCTATGATTTATTCTTTTTTCATGAGTGCTGTCTAATTCCGATTCCCTTTCATTCCCTGCCGTTCAGCTCATGCATTCCAAACTTGTAGTTTTCACTCGTAACCCCCAAGCGATGATCTACGTAGGCAGCGGACCAGTACCAGCGCAAAGACTACCATAGCCTGGATCCGTATCCTTTGCAAAGCATCAGGCCCGTGAAGCGAATCTCAACTTGCACGGAGTCTGGTACATGAGCTTCTCATTGTTTAAATTCTTCATGCAGCACCTGTGAAGATACTCCTTTTTAAAGCGTACGTCCTTGGGTTTATTCCAGGACAATAGAGAAATAGGAACGACGGAGACGCCAGAATCAATGAATGCAGAAATCAAGCCCGCCTCACTTTTAGGACCAAGTGACCAGTCAATCGAGCCGTCGATCTCATTTGGTTTTTCTGAGTGTGCCGTCGCAAATAGAATAGTTACGTAGGTAATGAGCCAATGCAAGACTAGGTACAAGCCCACTACTGAGAGCCTATCATCTTCCAAGTCCATCGCAAGTTACATGGTGATCGATCGAACTAGGGGAGTGGGCTGTCAACGGAATCCCGTTGGTCAACTGAACTCAATTCCCATTCTTGTTGATTTGATTTGATCACTTGGCCACAATTACTCCGTAGCGCCTGCCTGGCTAGGCTCGATTTTTATTGCCGAATGCTCACAAGTGCAAGAGCTCGTTATGAGAGGTTGACAGATTAGCAATAATATGTGCAGCAATTCATCATCCTGGTCAATTATGTGTCTAAGCCACGGTATGGGAGCACTCGGTACAGTATCCTTCACTGGACGTGGGCCATTCTCGCTTCAGCAGTATTCGTCGGGATTTACTTGCAGTGAGCAAGTTCATCCGGCCCGTTGATGGTACAGCTCCCCACCGCTTCACAGGGAGCATGGCCATAACTAGTGATCTCTTCTCCGATTTCTTCTTACTCTTAGTCCCTGATTCGAAGAAGGGGTGATCTTGCAACGAGTCACAACTAATAATGATATCCAGACGACTCACAGCTCTCTCGATTGTCGCATACACAGGCTTTAATCCGTGGCCAACCAGACCATCGTGCCAGAATCCAACCAAAGGCAATAAAAAAATGGAAGGCCACACTGGCCAGATGAAAGCCCTGTGATGTCTATTTCCCAAGAATCCAGGTCTCCCTTTTTTTTTCTCTATAGTTGACATCCGTGGCCGCGGACGTGGGCAAGGTGATGTGAATGGTTTCGTCCTACGAAGAGCTCCACTAGAGCCAAAACCTTGCTACGGAGTACGAGACCACCTGTGACGCTATGTTTGATACAATTCGGTTATCTCAGGGTGGATAGGTAACTTTGGACCAGCGCTAATGTGAGATACACATACCAATTATATAGGGCAATACAGCCTCGAAATCATGTGCCTCCGCAGGACAAGGTCTTCTTGACGGACGCTCCGATCCGACTTGGTTCGTTTATCGTTTATTGATGATATCCCTCTGCGCTACAACAATTAATAACATGGAGCCGAAGGCACGGGAGAACTGAGATCCAGGACAGCTGCTTCCTCGCCAACCAGCGCAATAAAGACCTACTAAACGTTTTTACCTCAAAACCAGATTTGCAACTCCTGCTGATATACCTGTCTAGTTGCCCAACCGTGGAACTAATATCAAGGCATGTGTCGCAAAATCAGGTTACGTAGTCGACTGCCGACATAAATTTGAATATAGTTATACTGGTGACCCGGTCCATGATTGATGACGTTAAATGCACCACCTCCTTGAAGAGGGAGAATTACAGTACCTAGTGACACTGACAATAAGTACCTCAGCAGTTAGCATCGTCACGATTTGTACGGTAGCAACCGTCTATCTATGTAGCAAGTTCTTGAAAAGTGGGCGCTTTTTTTCAAATCTCCGCACTAGGCTGTGACTCCGTAAATGATGATCCACCATCCACAGCTGTAACCTGGAACCGAATTCGGATCGCCACGGCCCCGACCGACGCCCAGTTCCAGAGAACAGACTAGCTTGGGTGAGAAATATTGAAGTCATTCCAAGACCCAATGCAGTGCTTGCAGTTATGATCGCGCATTTGGATTGCAGTGGCGTTGGATGGCTATGGCTCGGACAAGCCTACAAAGCTTTATTACTTGTCCAGCAACACCATCTGCTGCGTTCTACTGTACAGGTCTCGAGCTGAAAGAATGTGTCTCCTTAAGGCATGTATAATGCTGTACTTCTACCTATGCTCCATAATTGTCACATTTAACGTATGGCGAGGCAGTGGCGAGTGCTCCTGTGGAGTACATTTTCAGCTACCCATGCAGTCAATTTGCTCTTACCTTAAAACATGCTTGTTTCATGCTCCTCAATTTCTCATCTCTTCGGTCATCTCCAAGGGCGCTTCAGAGGCGGGAATTCTGACGACTCTTGTGTTTTCTTACTGGCGTGAAGGAGCCACACCGCTACAGACTACAAGAGTATGCCCAAACCTCCCTGGGGCAGTGACACAAGGGGAGCACACCCGGGCCGCATCGAGTACGCGCATACATGACCGATTGCGCACAGGCGGAATCTTCCAGGGTTGACTGGGTGTAATCCATTCTTGGGCTTGCGAGGACAGTACAGAGTACAACAGCAGCATTGTTGGTTCTTGACCGCTTCTCTCTGTCTCTCTCCCTCTTCCTCATTCTCGGAGATTTAATACTGATGAAATAATAGTTGAAACGACTAGTTAACAGATTGGCGACGTTGGTGAGGATTTACCAACTCGACCGTCGAGGGCCACCGAGCACAACGGCGGGATGCAGTTTGATACCAGCCAGGTACGTCACACCCACATTTGAATAAGTATTTGGTAGTTAGATCGTAATTTGTGGGAATTAATTGAGGAAGATTCGCTGCCCTCGATTTCTGTTTCAAATTCTGCGTTTGCGTTGACGCAGTTGCCGCTCCCCAGCCGATTCCCAGCGCTGTGGTTCGATAGAACGGCCCCTGCCGTCGTCTCCTTCACGTACCAATGAAAATGGGGGACTCATGTATATGCCAATGGCAGTTTTAACGCAATGATAATAATATATATCTTTGCGTTTAATAAAGGCTATCATTGATCAGCGGTGGCTACTGCCCAACCCCCTTTCTTCCAGTCACTGCAACACTAGGTAGGTATGGAGTACGGATAAAACACGAACATTCAATGAATTAGT